CAACGAACTTGGTGCAGTCGTAGACCTTGTCATGCACGACCATGTAGAGGTCGTTCTTGGTGTTGTGCTCGGCAACATCCTGGAAGGTGAATTCGGCGCCCATCTTGACGGATTGTGCTTGGTTTTGACGATCTGGCCTTTGGCTCTTGTCTCGGCGATGATTCGGAGTTGAGATGCGAGGGGCGCGGCGAGCGATTAGACGAAGTATCCGTGTGGTTCTTGCGACGAGCGGCTGAGGCAGAGCGGGAGATCAGGCCAGAAGATGCTGTTCGGCAGGTTGTTGAGATTGATGGAGCTGGAGGATTCGAGGGTCCTGGAGGAAAATTGGGGGAATTACCGATAAGCTCGGGTCGTCTAGGTTCAACAGACATTGTCCCTTTTTTGACGAATCAGAAGAGCTGAAATTGTTGATGTTGACTCCTGATTGGTGATAGAGCACGGCAGCGTGGAGCAGGCTCGGAAAGCGTTTGGGATTCCGCTTCCGCTTGGAAATTGCCCCGCCCCCGAGCCAGGAACGCATGTGCTTGACCGGCCACTTGTGCTACAACCATGCGCTACGCAGTGCCCGGCGCTCCATCGGCATCCAGGCCGGGACTTGTATCCTTTTCATGTCGAGTCATCAATATGGCCATGGTATTCTTTTTTTTATTCTTCCGCCATGTATCTGGATCTTATCGACTGAGCGTATCATCGCCACCTTCTGTCTAGCTCGCCACAGGCCTCCTCACCGCCGCGAGCCGCTGCCACCGCCAATGTCCTGGCCTAACCGGTAGCTGGTTACCTTGTCCCACTCAATCTTCTGTCTCGTCACCGGCAGCTGTCTCCGCAAACCCTTGAACGTACCCTCGCTGAGATTCGTGAACCCTCTGTTCAACTCATCTTGGTACTTCTTCTCTGCCGCCGAGATCTCCTTGACGATGCCGGCGCCGGTGCCTGAGGACACGGACGCCGTCGAGGGTCTGTCGGTGAGAAGGCGTACGTTGCCGTCCTCGTAGTAATGGACGTCGACCTTGATGGAACCCTCAAGGGCACCCGATGCCGGGTCGAAGGTGTAGATGGAGCGCCACCGGCCGTTCCTGGATGGTGTCAGCATGTGCGGCTTAAAAGGGGGGCAAGGGGTCATCGATCATCCGTACCAGAAGTTGTTGGGGCTGTACTTGTTTGAAACGATAACGACGGCCACCTTGGAGTCCTCCTCGATGGGGTAGACACCGTAAGCGGCGTTGGCAAAGTGCTCCTTGACGTAGGGGCCAAGACTCTTCAAGGTCGACTTGCTGCAGGCTGTCAGTCATGTTCGCGCGGGAAGGGGGCACGCACGGAAAGCCCCTTACACTAGGTCAGCTTGCGCGCCCTCGAGCACGTAGGATTGCACATTGCTGGCTTTCTGTAGCGACTCGTCAGCTGATGTTTACCGGGCTAGTATCGTGGTCCGGACCTGTGTGGGGTGGTCGAATGTGAAGCTCGAGCTGCTCTCGACGTCAAAGTATTGTCCCTGGCCGAGAGAGTTGTGCGCGCTGATGATGACCTGCGGATGTCCGTAAGCCAAGCAATTCTGCCAATGTTAGGGCGACTGATGTGACGGACGGACTGGCTGCTTCCGGGCAGCTTCACAGTGATGAGTTGCTCCTCGTTGTACTTCTCAAAGGCGGGAGCGAGGTTCGAAACAATGTCGGGATTATCAATGGTGAGGGACTTGATGTCTTGCGCCGTGTCAGTATACGGGAGCGAGAGGTCGGGTCGTCGGAGGTGTATGAGGTACCTGCAATGACATCTGCGAGCTTCGGTCCGGGTCAGCATGGCTGGAGCTATGAGGGGGAGGCTGCGCGACTTACCTCGCCGGGAGGGGCGCCCTCAACAAAGGCCGAGACGGTCTCGACCTCAGACATGGTGTATTTGGAGTTGTGCACGTGAAGTTACAAAAGCCACTGAGGATTGGAGGGCGGCCTATCTGGTTGCAAGGTCTGGACGGCTTCGTGGTAGAGCTCCCGGTGAAACGAGCAACAGTAACGTAATGCGGGGCATCCGTCTCGGGGGGGGGGCTCAACTACGACCAAGCTTGAGGTCACTGGCGTCTACTGGACCGAAGATTCGCCGACGTCACGCAACCTGGCGGGGCCGACGGTAGCCACCTACGCACAGATGGCAAGACATAGTCTTCTCTTTTGCAATCTGTGCCACCTGGTGTACGACACTACAAAGCTTCGAGAACATCAACAACACTGTGCCTCTAAAGGATCAAGTTGAATTGCCAGTCGAACAGAGATTGCTCGATTCTGACAAGTCATGGTCGTGCCTGGTATGGATAATGGAGGACACAGAACTCGCATCATGGGTGTAACCTCGTTCAGATTGAGATATTCTCTATGATTTTGTGCATCAACCAACGCCTGCGCAAATGACATTTCAGGTCTGCCGTTCCCCACCATATTTCTCTTGTTCCCTTCAGTAATCCAGCACCCGCTTGATATTGTCGTATATCCCTGTTCCAAATTAGCCAAAGTCTTTTTGAGAAACGCAGACAAGTCAAACTCACTTGCAACGTCTGGCACGTTGAAACGCTCATACAGCAGAGGCGTGTGGATGCTCCAGCCAGCAACCCTCGCCACTGGCGCCTCGAGGCGATTAAACGTGTCGGGGTCCTCCTGAATCGCAGCCGCCACCTCAGCGCCCGTGCCAGCGTTCACCATGGCCTCGTGCACGACGACACAGTGGCCTGTCTTGCGCACGCTGTTGAAGACCGTCTCCTTGTCCCAGGGATAGATGGTGCGCAGGTCGATGAGCTCCACAGAGATGCCGAGCTCCTCTTCGGCACGTTGAATCGCCGACATGCACGTGTACAGAGGCTGGCCGTACGAAATGACCGTGACGTCCTTGCCCTCCTTTAAAATCTCAGCCTTGCCGAGGGGCAGCGTATAGGGAGCGGTGGGGACCTGCTCGACGGCGGCGCGGTAGAGAATTTTGGGCTCCATGAACACAACGGGGTCGTTGCTCTGGATGGCGGCGAGCAACAGACCCTTGGCCTGGAGCGGCGAGCGCGGCACGACGACGCGTAGGCCGGGAATGTGGGTGAACAGGCTCTCGGGCGACTGAGAGTGGTACATCGCGCCGTGGCCGACACTGCCGCAGGGCATGCGGACGGTGAGACCGCCGACGCTGCGGCCGCAGGCACCCTCGCGGTATCGGTACTTGGCCGCCTCGTTGACAAGCTGATCAAAGGCCGGGTAGACGTAGTCGGCAAATTGAATCTCGGCAACGGGACGCATACCCTCGGCGGCGGCGCCAATGGCAAACCCCATGATGCCCTGCTCGGTGAGAGGCGTGTTGAAGACGCGGTCGTTGCCGTATGTCTCGGCGAGCTTCATCGTGCAGCGGAAGACGCCGCCAAATGCGACATCCTCGCCAAAGACCATGACTGCATCGTCCTGGGCGAGTGCTGTAGAGAGAGCGTCGTTTACAGCCTGGAAGAGGTTCATCTTCTTTGTGGGGCCGGCGCGGGCTTCGGCAGGTAGATCGGTCGTGGCCAGCGCCGTCTGGGACGAGTGGGCAAGGAGGGACGTTGTCGCATAGTCTATCGGAAGGTTGAGCTTCGCATTGGGAGCATGGGAGGAGTAGTTTCGTGAGAGGAACGTGAGGGACGGGGCGACTGAGGCTGTGAGGCACGATGTCCTGGAGGGCGCCAGCGCTGCTCTCCTGGCGGCATTGCGTAATGGAGACAGCTTCATTGTGACGATATGTGTAGTAGAGAAAATTCACGATGGTGTTTACCCGAAAGAGTTGCAAGTGAAGGGAGTCTATGAGAAGAGGAGAAGAAGGTAGAGGGTTCCTGCCGAGGGGGTCGGTCCGTACAGGTGATGCTGTTTCGGCTTGTTGCGGCATTCGCGGGGTTGTCGAGGGCCAAGACAGGTCAATGCCTGCCTCATGTCGGCTCAAGCCCCAGGAAAGCACAGACGGGGGTGGGGCACAGACCCACCTGCCTCACAACCAGTGATCAAGACTGGGCAAGCACTTGCTACCTACCTGCCTAAGGTAGGTCAGTTCAGGTAGGTAGGCACCCAAGGCACATACTACAAATCTACAGTGACCACTTTCATTAACTAACTACCTAATTTACGCATCTTCCATCCTTCCAGGGCATCCCCATATCAGAAGAAGAAGAAAATCCATCACCAACTCTGCAGTGGAGCGAGACCGTCCGCCTTAAGATACTGAGTCAACTGCCCGTCAACAGTGTCCCACAGTCCTCTGGCTTGCTTGCCATCCGAGGTGACTGGGTGCAGGTTTATTGTTTGGCCACCTGATATCAATAGAGCGTTCTTGAACTGCTCCGGCTGCTGGCGGATCCGTTTCGCCGTGGCTGCGAAGAGTGGCAACGAGGCAGCCTGCTCTGAGGACTGGAAAGCAAGGCGTGCGACCGCTCTGATGAAAGCACTATTGACCTCCAACAAGCCTTCGGTCGCTGTCGGGCCTGGGTGGACGACCAATGACAAAATGGGTAGATGACTTTTATCAAATGTCTTCTGGAGCTGCGACGCAAAGACTTCCGCTCCGGCCTTGGCCACGCTGTACAGGATCATGTCGCTGGCGAAGACGAATCGCCCAAAAAATCGCCAGTGCCATGGGTAGGTAGAGACTGAGGCTGCAAGCGCCAAGGGCGAGTCGAAGCGCAGGGGATAATCCTTTGGTAAAAACACTTGTGGGGCGTTTGAAGAACAGGTGACAATCCTGACGTCGGCGCCCGGCATCTTGGCCGTCTTCTGGAGGAGAGGTAACAACCGGTTCGTCAAAAGAAACGGCCCGACGACACTGCGAGACTTCCATCAGTTCAAGGCTCTACGCCAAGGCCACTAGGAAGTGTCATACCTGACTGCCATGTGCTTTTCCCATCTTCCGTCCACAAGCTGATGAGCCGGTGTGGCGGTTGCCGCGTTGTGCACTTGCCAAGGCAACCACGTCAGGGGCTGATGAATCTCTGATAGATCCAATGAAGGCTGGAATAACTTACCCAGAACATCGAGCCTATCAACTTTACTACGAATCTCTTCTGAAACTTCGCTGATTCTTTGAACATTGGTCAGGTCGAGTGGCAGCCACTCGATGGCCCCCGGCGGGATATTGGGGTAGCGAGTCTTGAGGGCATCTCGAGCTTTCTCTGCTTTCTCCTCCGACCGTGTCGTGGCGAACACTTTGGCTCCTCCTTGGGCGAGCTGACGAACAATTTGGAACCCTATCCCAGTGCTAACCGATGTCAGCGAGATGCAACGACAAACGCGCATTCGTTCTCTCGTGAGAGTGTTCTACCTTGCGCCCGTGACGAGAGCGATCTTGCCTGTAAGGTTCGGCATGTCTTGCGCCGGGTTCCAAGCGGCGCCCATTGCTTGCAGTATTCAGACACTGAGATGGATTACGAGTGCGAAAGAAGTCTACAGATGGATGAAGGTACAAAATGAACAAGGCCTGTGTCATGTAGGGGTGCAGCAATCAACCTTTGAATTATAGCTGGGCCACTGTCCGGGCTCTCTGGGGCTCACACAGACGCTTCGGACCGCATTGCGGTGATTGCATTGTACATGGATACGAACGCTCGGAGTTGTGCGGATCTGTCGCAGAATGCGGACTCTTCCCTCCTCTAACCTTCAAGTCCGCACAAACCAAGATTCCACCGTATCAGCCCCCCACATCAGCGAGTACAGATGAAGAGCGAACTCGTCGACCTCCGCAACTGACAGATCGCGCTTCGCCAATTGACGGCTCGCAAGACTATAGTCAAAGAGGGGGTCCTCTCCGCCAGCTATCGCTGCCCAGCGTGCCGATGTGAACGCGTCCCACAACCCCGCGCGGCTCGTGAACAGAACATCCCCTGCGCATGCGGAGCTCCAGTCTCCCCTGAGGCTGCGGTAGACCCCTATCGTCATTGCAGACACGAGCCAGGTGCGTCGGATCGACTCGCACATGATGAAGGCATGATGCAGCTCCGGGACCGATTCGCCTGCTGGTTCTCCGCTTCCCAGAGGATCGGCTTGCACGGAGGGAAACATGTCCACAAGGCTCGCTTCCTGGCTGGCGGACTCCCACAAGGCGAGTTTCCAACGGTGGAGAGTCTCGATGAGGCTCTCCGCCTTGGCCTGGCGCGATATGGAGGACGAGAACAAGGCGAGAATGATGTGGACAAGGAGAGCCTGGGTGCGGGCGAGGTGATCGACGGTGGTGACAATCGAGAGCCCGTGGGCCGGCATTTGGGGATAGGAAGATATCAGCCGCATGACCAAGGCGTTGGCGATGCTGTCCACCAGGTTCTCATTCTCGGGACAGACGCCCTCCGAGACAGCGATGGCGGCGTAGGCGTCCTGGATGCAGTCCGGGATGGCCCTGGGCGGGTACAGCTGGCGGTGGATCAGCGGGGAGTGACCTTCCCGTTGGAAGCGTCGCACCCAGCACTGCAGGCCGCGGATGAAGTCGGAGAAGGCCTGCGGCGAGGGGAGGCCCTCGGGCGGCTGGTAGTGGTACCCAATTGTCCAGGTGGAAGGGTGCGTGAACCATTTGAGGCTCTGACCCGTCGACGGCGATACGTTTGTGCCGATAGAGCCGGTCCCCGTGCCGGGTGCGGCAGATACTGGCGAAGTTGAGGACCCGAACGAAATGGTGCTACTAGCCAGACCAGAACTGTGCGATGCGTCATGCTCAGTGTCGGGCATGGGCGAGATGCCATGCGGGGGCGATATCATGAATATGGTCTCATGCATGGCCGTGTGATGGCTTGTGGAAGGCGGTTCTTGGCCCGCCACGGTACCTGGATTGTCATCCCTGTGAGCACTGGTGAATTCGGGGTTGGTGGACTCGGACTGATCTGGAGCGGGTTTGGCCAATCTCCGCTGTTGTGCTACCGGCCAGGCGCATTGCACGCCTCTGTCGATGCATCTCGTGCAGGACGGCAGCGTCCGGTCACAGCGCCGCTTGCTGTCGACACAGGGGTAGCAGGACTTTTGCTTCGTTCGACGGTCCATCTTGGGGGAGCAGACGCGGACGTGAGGTGTGCCGGACGTTGAAGGATTAGTCTGTGAAATGGGAGAGAAGTCGGGGGTAGCTCCGTTGCTAGTGGAGATGGTGCGGACTTGGTGCGGACTTGGTTCGGTGTGGGTCTCCCGGCATTGCTCTGACAGATGGTGCGAGATGGACCCGGCGATTACGGCGTCTGGCTCGCGAATCGGAAGACTTGGCGACTGGAGCGAGGGAGCCAGGACAACTGTTGCGGTGACCGGGTATGCAGCCAAGCATTCGATGCGACCTTGACGGAAGCTTGTGGTAGAAAACCGGCGCAGCCATTCCCTACGAGAGTCTGTGGGTGTAGACCGCATCTCTCTTGACGACACCAGCGCAGACTAGGGCATTTATGAACATCAGCGGCTTCGTGCGACCGACAATCGCGGCAATAGCAGCAGCGCCGCGAGCACATGACGACGCAAACCGAATCATCATGGCAATGCAAAGCTGAGAGTTGATTTCTATGGATGAAGCGGCATGCAGGGTCTTTTCTTCGTCCCGCTCAACTAGACTCGGCCTCCGTTTGAGCCGTGACCTTCCTCTTGCCACCGATCAACTTGATCTCCCAGATGATGACGGTCGTGTGCTTTTTCTCCTCCCCCGAGGCCTTGTCCTTGGTCGACCACGTGCTGAGCACGGCGACGACGCCGTCCTTCTTCACCGGGTCCTCCCACTCGAGCAGGACTGAGAAGGTCTCGAGGACCGAGATCCGAGAGCTACGGGCGTGCTGGATGCCCGGTTTGAACTGGTCATACGTATAGACATTGTGGTTGATTCTGGGATGCCAGGAGGGTTAGGTTTGGGTGCTTGCTTGCGGACAGCTCTCGTGAGCACAGACGTACTTGACCACCAAGCTGGTATCAATCTGTTCCTCGACAGCCCGCCGCGCCAGCTCGTCGTCCGGCTGGAAGAACAGAGTGTTGTTGAGCTCTGTGACCCACTGGCCGAGGGGTTGCGATTCGGTCGACATTATGCACGGCTAGACCACCATACGTGAGTGACTGACTGGGGAGGCCACAAGGACTGCGCACGACCCACTCGCGTTTCGATTAGTAGAAGCTGCTTGTCGAGAGATGGCGGTCTTGACAAGGTGGTTATGAGCGAGACGGTGGATTGTGTTTTATACTCGACTGTCCTGGAATCTCCTACAGACGTGTTCCCACGAGACGTCAACTGCACCGTTGCTGAAGCACGACAAGCTGGTGCGGAGATGCGGAGGTGCGGAGATGGCGCGAGGCGTCGGAAAGACGACCAGCAATGCCATGACCTGCGGATTTGACGCAGGAGAATAGGGTTTGGCGGTGGTTGTTGGTTTGGCGTTGGAGGGTCACATCGCGAATTGCGCGTCCTGAGGTTCGTCGTGGTCGTTGTAGGTCGCGTCTTTGGCACACGTGGAGTCCTCGGAGCGTGTGCCGCGCTTCGCCGAGCACCATTCTTTTGGGGGGGTGCAGGCAGATGGAGAACGAATATTCTTTCTACGTGAGTCGCAGGTCTCTGAGATCAAGAGGAAACTTGGCTACATTCATGACTGCACGCACTATAGCTTACTGTAGGTGCCTAGGGTTGGGTAGCAACGAATGGCGATGCACGTGCAGGTTGTCACTCACGACAGCAGCTACGTGATGCAGATCAGACACGCGATCACATTTAAATTCGCCTTTTTCTTTTCTTTTTTATTGTCAGAACGGCGTGAATGGAATCTGTCACATCCAGCGAAACCATGGTGGTGCCTGAGGTGAATTGTGTCTGTTTTGACAGATGCGACCTCCTTCATGATATCCCTCCAAGCTTGAGCTAGGACGTCCAGGGTGAGCGCCTCATAGGTCAAGATATTGTCGGGTCCAATGCGGGGGACAATTGGCTGCAAGCTCAGGGCTCAGGGGCAAGTGCGCTGGCTCCGGCTCGTTGAGGCAAGAACGTGATATGAGTTCCTTCCGCAATGGCAGTTGAGCCCCCTCGCGAGGGCAGGCGCTAAGGGGAGTCCCGTCAAGGTACCTCTGTATCTTGCTCTGATGCATGCTCAATGTGGCCTCCCAACCTGCGATATCGTCCCCGGAAATGGACATTCCCCTTGGATTCAACATCCTGCCCCAAGGCTCCGTGATGTAGTTTGTGCTGACTAACTGCATCACAGGAGTCCCTTCATGCCTGTCAAGCAACGTCACTGATGAGATGCCGCGATCTACCGTTGCTGTGCCAACCCCGCACAGACCAACACGGCCATCAAGCAGGGAAGTCACTGCCTCTCCTCGGGCAACGGGCAACGACGAAGGAGTGTGGCTTCCTTGGTATTTGCTCGGCGGCTTGATATATACGAACAATGCATTCAGCTTGACGGCAGAACATTCCTCTCACCTTCTGCTTTCCCCGCCATTCAACCTCCCCGCATACCATCTTGCCGACACATCGAAGCCGAGCTACGCCTTTCCCCCATTTGCCCCGCCATGCCTCGAGATTCCTCGACCCGGCCGTCACACCGCCGGCACGAGTCGACCGAGGAGCGCGACCAACGACGCAAGACTAGAAGAGCCCAGCAGGACGACGACAGACCTCGCCGCGCCAAGAGACCACCTACGACCACCACGACCACCACAGACTCGGAACAGAGCCGCCCCGAACGCAGCTCGCGCGCCCACGCCCTCTCGGCCGATGCTCTGGCGCAGCTCAACAGCGCTGGCGGCCCTGTGCGCGACGACAGCCCCGACCTCGAGAGGGAAGAGCGGCAGCGGGGGCGGAGGGAACGGCGACGCCGGCGGCGAGAGCGCGAAGAGGCTGGCGAGAGGCGCAAGACCAGGCCCGACGACGAGAGGCGGAGGCCGAGTCGCCAGCCGCCGGGCGAACGGACGCGCAGCCGACACGATGACGAAGAGCAGAGGCGCAGCCGCCTTGACGACGAACGGAGACGGGCCTTGGTCGAGGAGAGGTGGCGTCTCGAGGACGAACGACGGCAGGCGAGGTATGAGGACGCCCCGAGGACGAAGAGGACCGTGCGGCGCGAGCGGCGCGGCGGCGACGACGACTTCTCCGATGTCGAGTATGAGAAGCCTCGGAAGCAGAAAAAAGGCACCAAGGACAGGCGGATCGTCAGCGGCGCTGCTCTCGAGGAGGGCCAGGGATGGAAGATTGGTGGCTTCTTCGGCAGGCTCAGGGGTGGCGGCAGCAGTGCTGTGCCCACGAAGGACTTGGACGACTCGGACTACGACCCGCCGGTGCGGCCGGTCCGCAAGAAGAGGAAACTCTGTACGTGACAACCTCCCGCGAGACTGACCGAACGGCGCGCGCTAACAGAACAGGGATCTGCATGGGCGTTTCGGTCGTTCTCATCATCATCATCGTCGTCGTGGCCGTCGTCGTCTCGAAGAACAACTCGTCAGACAGCAGCGCCAGCGCAGACGCCGACCTCAAGGACAAGGACAAGGACAGCATTCCGATGCAGTGGCGCGGCACGTACCTCGACCCCTTCAGCTGGGACAACACGGACGATTTCAATGTCACCTTCACCGACGCGACGGTGGGCGACCTGCCCGTCATGGGCCTCTTCGACGACTGGGACGACTCGGCGCGCTGCAACGACAAGGTGCCGCCGCTCGACAAGGCTTGGGGCTCGTACGACAAGCGGCCGGCGCGGGGCGTCAACGTGGGCGGCTGGCTCGTGCTCGAACCCTTCATCACACCGTCGCTCTTTGCCTACGACAAGCGCCTCGGCATCATCGACGAGTGGACGCTGAGCACGCACCTCGGCAAGCGCCAGACGGCCGAGGTGCTCGAGGCACACTACGCGAGCTTTGTCACCGAGTCGACGTTCAAGGAGATCCGGGACGCCGGGCTCGACCACGTGCGCATCCCGTTCGGCTACTGGGCCGTCGAGGTGTGGGACGACAGCGACCCGTACCTCGCGCGGACGTCGTGGCGGTACCTGCTGCGCGGCATCGAGTGGGCACGCAAGTACGGCCTCCGCGTCAAGCTCGACCCGCACGCGCTGCCGGGGTCGCAGAACGGATGGAACCACTCGGGCCGCTGGGGCGCCATCGGCTGGCTCAACGGCACGGCGGGCACGGAGAACCGCAGGCGCTCGGTCGAGATGCACGACCGGCTGTCCCAGTTCTTCGCGCAGCCGCGGTACAAGAACATCATCACCTTCTACGGCCTCGCCAACGAGCCCAAGATGACGGAGCTGTCGACGGCGGACGTCATCGCGTGGACGGAGGAGTGCTACGCGCTCGTGCGCAAGAACGGCGTCGACGCCGTCGTCGTCTTCGGCGACGGGTTCTGGGTCTGGCACAATTGGCATGGACGCTTGACGGGCTACGACGACATGCGGCTCGACGTGCACAGTACGTCATCTTCAACAAGGACA